TTCGCCTGTAGATCTTTGAGTTTGTGCCACAAGACATTAGACATAAATTATCATCGGCGAAATCCAAATCTACTTCAGGTTTTTTCCCTCGGTCCAGCTAGAGTACGTCCCTCTTCTCACTCCTCAACGTTTGTTGCATGATCGAGTCCACCAAAGTCAGGAAGATCATGAGTGAAAGTAGGCGGCAGCCTTGTTTTATTCCTGCCTTCACTTCAAAAGCATCACTGAGCTCCCTACTGTGAATTACTTGGCATGTGGCATCTTCATATAATTGTTGAATGAGGTTGACAAGGGTTTGTGGCACTAAAACCATAGTGTTGAAACAGCTGCCTGCCAAATTACTTGTCGGTCGACACTATCGGAGACCTTTTAAAATAGGTGAATTTGAGGTAAATGGTTGACTGCCATTCTATACTCTGTTCTATAATGATGTGAAGCGTTGCAATTTGGTCCACACATGATTTGTACTTCCTGAATCCAGCCAGCAAACTGTTCCGGTAGTAGTTTTGAATGCAGCGCATCCCTTAGTCTCTCCAGGATGATGCAGCTTAATATTTTGCTTGCTCTGAGTGGACAGAAGTATGGTTCCCCGCCAGTTCCTACAAATACTTAGGTCGCCGTTCTTTGAGAGTTTGACAAGCTAACCCTTCTTCCAATCTGCAGGTACCTCCCCTTCCTTCCAGACCTTCTGCAATAGTGGTGTGAGCATGTCCGCTGCTGTTGTCTCTGCATCTGTTCTCAGTGCTTCTGGCGGTATTCCATCTGGTCCTGCTGCTTTCCCGCATTTCAGTAGCTTTATGGCTCTCAGGACTTCCACTTTTGTTGGGGGATCTTTGTTGACTTGTAGTTCTGTGGCTCGGCTGCAAGTGGTATTTTTTGACGAAGTGCAGGTGGTGGTGGTGGTCGATTCAAGAGCTTTTTGAAGTGGTCAGCCCATCAGATCCTTTGTTTCTCTACTTTGATAATTAGATTTCTTTCATCATCTTTTATTGGTTTCATCTGTGTTGATCTCTACCCTCCCCAGATAGTAACCTGGTTATTTGATACAATGTCGTCAGGTCTCTGTTTCTTCAACCAGCAGCCTGTTCTGCTTCACTTGCCAGTGTTTCGTAGAAGTGTCTTTTGTCTTTCCGCACACTCTTCTTCACTTCTTAGTCCAGTGTCTTATATATTGTACTCGGTTCCTCTTCTCGTTGTTCATCCTTGAACTGGTTCATCTTCTGCTTCACCATCCTCCTCTCCCTGCTCTATCAGCTTCCATGTGTCCATCGAGATCCATTGCTTGTCTTGTTTCCTTTCACTTCCTGTTACGGTTATGCAGGTTTCTTTCTACATAGCTTTCAAAGATTTCCAGTGTTCTTCCACACATGTTCCTTCAGGAATGTTGCTCACTGTCTCCCATTTTGTTCTGATGGCTTACGTGATCATGTCTTTTGAAGTTTTATCCTTCAGTTTCTAGGTGTTGAACTTGAACTATGGTCTATCACCAACTTCCTTGAAGGCTTTCAACTTGATTTGGAAGGCAATATCCTTGCACCAGATAGTCAGTCAGTGGCATCAACCTACATCTCCTCCTCTCCTTCTTCATTTCATCTTCTGTCCAGTAGGCTGCATCTCGACCGTCTTCACAATGAGATGAAGTCGATCTGATTTTCAGTGTAGTGTGTCCTGGTGTCTGGTGAAATCAAATGCATGTATCTGCCTAGTCAATATCCTTGTGTTTGTACACACTGCCTGTCTCCAATCACCAGTCCGTTGAATGAGCACAAGTCTGCAAACAGTTCTCCATTCTCATTCATCATTTCATTGAGTGCCTCTCGACCCATGATGAGTTCTCCTCACTGTGTTGTCTGCTCCCAGATTGACACTCATGTCGCCCATTTGAATTTTGATGTCGCCAACTGAAGTGCTGTCTTGTCTAGTACCGACTACAGTTGCCTGTAGAATTCCTCCTTTTTCTCCTTCTCTTGATCTGCATAATTCGTGGAGGCATAGTCTACGTAGCATTGTATGATTGTGAGTCTCCTTCCTTTCGAGTTGAATCTCGCTGTCATGATTCTGATTCTGCAGGATGAGGAGGAGGAGGAGGAGAAGATTGGTTGCGACTGCATGAAAGCAAGTCTTCGATGCTGTTGGGAGTGGGACATCATGACAGCCACTCGAAAAGTCAGTGTGATGTGCTCGTGGTTGTCGTGTGGGTGACAATATTGGAGTAGATTATTGACTCTTCTCCAGTTGACAGTTTGGAGAGTCCACTTCCATTTCACCTGCTTTCACAGATTCCTAGCACTTCAATGCCATATCTCCTTATCTCTTTCGCAATCTGGGCAGCCTTGATAGGTTTGTACACGGTGCGGACATTCCATGTCATCATTCTTACTTTCGCTCTCATCGAGAGAAGATACATCGGCGGACTGGCTTCCCGAAGGCCGTCACCGATCGGCGTCATTTCATCTCTCCGATTCCAGCCAGGAATAATTTTGTCTTCATGTTTTATATCTTCTTCGTGCTTTGAAGTTTGGTTAGCGATTGGATTGGTTTTACGGGATAGGGTTGCTAACCCTACGCCTAACCTTCCCTGTTTACCCGGGCCTAGGACCGGCCAGTAACTAGTGAAGTAGTTGACCAGGCGAGGTTGCAAATTTATTAAGATCTCCGAAAACTTTCTGTGCAGAATCAAACTTAGATATTATTAGCACCTCCATTAATTTCAAGAACAGAGAAGTAACTGCAATTTGACGGAGTTTTAGACACGCACCTGGAGTTTAAGGACTACCTTAATGTCTTTCCAAGCAGTCAGTACGGTGTTTTCTGAAAACGACCTACTTAAGATGCTAGTTAGTGGATACCATAATACATCAGAACATTTCGTGAATATGAAACTTGATATGCCATCCGGACCTGAACTGTGTGAAATGTTCAGGGATTTGGGATACTTGAAAACATCGTCCTCAGTGAATTCTGGGCAGCATTCTTTAAACATTTGTTGACAAAGTGAGATGAGACAGGTGGGTTGGGGCATAAACGGTTTGTTCAAAGTACAGACTTCAACGTGTGCCTCTTTACCAAGGTGTTCACTACCAGTGAGGTTTTTAAAAAGTTTCCACATACTGGGAGAGCCTTTTCCTGAAAAAAGTTTCTGGTTATGTAGTAGACTCAGACGTTTAAATCCCAACCTAATTAAAACGTTCAGTAAACGAGCACCAGCATTATCAGACTTCATATGGCTTTTCTTTTGCGCTTCGTAGTCTTATACGTTGAGAAGATATACGATCGAAGCGTAGAAAACGTTTTTCACTAGGGCAACAGATATCCAGGCAAAACTTGGTATGGGTTGTCGTATCATCAATAGTATCATTCAAGACATCGCTGTCAAATATGTTCCAATCTGTACATTGCAGCATTTCCCTTAAATTAAGTACTTTAGTTTTTGAGTAGTTTCCATGTACGATTTTTTTATACCGATAAAGGAAGGCTGTGTTGTGTAGTTTGACACATATCCTGAGCAAAACATGTATAATACAATGATATAAACTAAGCAGTGGTGGCATCTCTTTCGAGTTTCATATATATCAGTGTCACTGACGAATCCCAAGTCTAGTGTTGCATCCCGACTTGTCATCGAACTGCATGCGCATACTTTCATGGTATTTATTCACGCTTTGCAGCCACTACTTACACACACCCACACTCGAAACAATAATCCGAATTGTACATAAATATTTGAAACAGAGGAGTCCTGTGGGAAGAAACAGTGAATAGAGATCAAATGATCACAGAAGTTAAGCGATAACAAACTTCGGATGTTAGGAAGATTCCATCTTCCTAAAATAAACTTCCCGTCAAAAACACTAAGCTGCAATGTACAGTGTCAACCGCTGACACTTTCCAAGACTTCTTCAAGGCAAGTAATATAGGTGTATATGGTATTCATACAAAAAAAAACTTTCCTAGTATCACTATTGTCTAACGAACAATGCAATGTCATCTTTTAACTACTTTTCGGATAGCAAATTACTTACACTGTGATAATAAACGCTATTTCACTTATTACTGTCATGAAGAGACGTTTTTCAAGTATTCTGACTTTACTGAGTTATCGCAACAAGCAGAATTAACCACCAGCAGACTGTAGGGATAAAAAAGGAAAATGAAAAGTGGACTAGACATTTCAAGACATGCAATACAGGAAATTATAATAATATTATGTTAGAATCCATTGAAGTAGGACTATAATGGGCCCGCATTAACGAGGTCTGTCCCCAGACTCATCCCCTGAAGTCGGTTATTTAGCAGATCAATACTCAGGAGAAACACAACAACATTCTACAAGATTAAAGCTGTTAGACAAAGAGCTCACGAAGTGGTGTAGTATCTCAGTCAAACTACTATCAAACTATTTATAATCTGCTCCTGAAAATGTCCGTCAACAATGAATCTTCACAGAGTGATATCTTTTTAAATCTAACATCTGTCGTTATCCACACGGACATTGCATCATATACGGATAATGCTACATATATACACCAAAGCTATATCTATTGAGAATGAATATTTTATTAGTGATGACATGTGTAGTTAATCTTATCTGTCAAATGTTTGCTCAAACGTTCAAGTCACTCACTGTCACTATCAGGCAGCAAATTTCAAGGAATCGCTGCTCGTAAAACCACAGTTCCTGTGTGAGATTTACTGTGAAATTTTGATACAGCGCATAAACAATGCTATAAAATTATTCAGTGCAGCAAAGTTAAACGATAGTTAGCTAAAGGACAGATAAGATGAATGTTGATGAAAAATTTCATTCTTTTGCTAAGCATACTAGCACCAGCTTGTTTCACCTTTCACGAACTTAAAGTGCAACCATTGTTATCATTATCCTAACTATCATGGTAATTTGTTGAATTCCCAGCACTAGATTGGTAAGTTATTCGCTAGTTTGAAAATGCTACATATTGGTGCAAAGCCCCATAAGATGGAAAGAAATATTTTTTGTCGCTCAAATTTCATTGCTATCAATTTATCAGTAGTTAAAGTCTTTTTAGCGAAATAACAAGCAGACGACTGTGATATAGTTTTGTCAACTCTTCAATTAATGATAACTAGTAATTATTTAAAATATGATTGTACAATGCACAAAGGAGAACGCCAGAAAAACGTACACAATTAACAGTGCATAATAAGTAAAGGCACACATATTCATGCACATACACATGTATACAAGTGTATACACCTCATAAACACACAAATAACCGCCTTTTATCAAGTGTTACAAAAACTCACCAACGAAGTGTAAACAAAACAAGTACAAAACAGTAATAATAATACTAATATTAATATTAATAATAGTAATAATAATAATGTGTGATAGGTATGATGCCTAATTTCACTTCTAAACGAGTTTACCTCTAAGAAAATAAGATGATCCGAGTGATGTGGAGTTGGCTACAATTTCAGGAAGACTAGTTTTTTTATACGAGAAGGTGAGTAACTGAAAAATCATAAAAACTCTTTCCTCAGATGAAATTCTGCCCTACCTCCTATTCCCCCAGAACGAAAACTAAATAATAAGGTGGAGGAGGAGGAAGAGGAGGAGAGAGAGACAGAGTGGAAACAGTGCATATGAATAAAACGAAAACAAATTTACGATTTGTACACAAAATCTCAATATTCAATGTTTACAAAAAAGAATCCCAAATAAAGGGTAAAAATAAGATGAAAGAATAAATGCCGATTAAGATTTTAATGTTTTCACCAATTTCTGTAATTATATTCAGTTAACCAATATACAAACAGGAGAAATAACGTAGTAATCATTGAACAAGACGAATATGAATACAATTCACTACTAGCATAAATAAGCATAGGAGGATGAAAGTATAATACTTTAGTCTATGAAGCCAATGATACAGTCAACGAAGAACAATCATTTTGAGATTGTTGTGAAAAGTTTACACCAATCAAATGACGACGTGTTGTACGACCACGACCTCGACCATGATGCTCTGATAATGAATTGACAGTGTCAGAGTTCTGTTGTTGAGTTGATGGATTTGATTTATAACCTCGACGTTTATACTTTCTATTACGTTTACGAGATATCCCGATTTGATCAGTTTTATTCGAACAGGAGATTTTACAATGGGAACAAATATTTGTATTGGCCTAAAATCAAAGGAAACTATGAAGTAACTTTATCCGACTGAAATATGAATACTGATGAGTAGAAATATATTCTAATTGTACGGCATTAAAAATCTCTTAAAATACACATATTCTAGTAAGTATTAGACTATATTCATCCTTAATAATTAAAATGAACATTCAATGTCTTGAAAGTGCAAGAAGCTGAAGCAGAGACGTCATGTCAGTATTAACCTTAATGTCGGGTATGGGATCCATGGAAACAGGAAGTTGATTAGTAGACACGGTTACTCAATTTCTATAAACCTAGAAGAATTATGTGATGATTTTCGCATACCAACAACCTGTTCACTTCAATAGGGAGTCTAGGTGTAAGAGTATTGAAAAATGACTTGCTAACATAAGAAGATTCATGCTAGAGGTCTATTCCATTACACCAACTATCGATTCGATCTATGAATGTTATCAGAATCCCATGGTATCTATAAGATACAAAAAAATCTCATTCGATAGAGACAGGAGACAATACACTTCAAATAATTTTCCTGTTAAGACCCAAACAATTTGACTAGTGAGATATAACTTTCACTTGGATCTTGAGGTATTTTATTGCTTTTGCCGGGAAAGCCTTCTTTTAGCATAAAAGATTGTTATTAATGTGAACACTTTTTTTTAAAAAAAGTGTCGTTTTCATGCAATCTTTTACAGCATGACTAATAGTTCATTTTCTACCCATATTTGTAAGGTAATTAGTTGACTGGTTGATCCTTACTCTTACTATGTTAATGTCTCAATTTCTGGACCAGGGTCATATCTCAGGTGTATACATACTCACGTGTGTTTGGGTTAATTAATTATTAGTCTTCGAGGAATAAACCCTCCCATCCAGTGTAGTCTTCTCTATATGACACACGTTGTAGTCGGTCGCTCTTGCATACAAAGTTAGCTATCAGTTAAGTATGTGCATTAATTCAATCGGAATATATAACAGATTTTTTATCCGATTCTATGGTATCTTGTTATCAGTATTTTAATTATTCTCCCTCAGTCGTCTATTGAAGTTTACGCATAATACTGTAACTCCGAGTAAGCCTATGCAAAACTACTCAAAATCGAAAGTAAACATTTTCCACGAGGTGGTACCAATGGCATTTTCACTAGAGATAAGAAAGCCAGTATTACAGAGAGATGGATAACTGCTGCAACAGTATGTTTATAATATTCATATTCATAGAAATATTTTCGTTTCAAATCTTGATTGATGTCCATCTGATTGGTAATCTAGTGGCTTCGTTTTCTGAGTAGCTGCTGTATATAAATACTACGTTTTTGTCAAATAAAATCGTCTTCCTTAAGTCAATCACAGGTCCGTCGTTTGTCTTCTGATTTTCGCGGCTCAGTGTATGGAAGAACAGTTGTATTACACATATCCTGTCCAAGTATCTCGTTGCGTTATAGCTCGTTTCGCTTATTGTTAGAACCCACGTCCTACCCCGATACAGTCACATCAGTTACTAAGTTACCGATGGTCAAACACCTGGAACATTCGAACATTCTTTGTCTCTAGTGGTAATATCTCAAAGCTATGGAGCATGGAAAGAGTAAAATGATGTACAGCAAACTTGACCCTTAATAAGAAATCACATATCATCCTTATTAGACTGTTTAGTTGATTGACATTGCATACAGTGACAGTATAATTCACTGGATGGTGATGTTACCAGCAGAGTTCATTGCTCAAAGTAATCATACGACTTTCGAATTTCGTTTATACAGTCCAACAGTTCTTCATTCATTTACATTAATGGTAGTAAAATACTGTAACATAACAAAGGATTTAAATTCCCTCTTAGGCATGTTCCAATCATCTCTAACATTACCACTCCTTCTCTTATCAGTCTTTATAAACATTTTAATAAATTTCGGATGGTAGTTGTTAAGATGTAGTGTCTTTTCGATGTATTTCATTTCCTTATTTAAGTTTTCTGACTTACAAGTCAAACTACTAGGTCGATTACTTAGACATTTAAATATTAGTGGTGATTATAACATGTTTGATAGGGAATTTCATATCCTCTGTAGTATTGCTGTATAAAGAAGGCGCATTGAAAATTTTATGTAACAATGCTGGGATCTGGATGTTATTTAAACCCACAAACTCGATTAGAGACAAACTTTGTAGCCTAAAAGACGCAGCAGAGCAAATTAAGACAAATAAACTTATCCATCAAATAGCATATATTGATTGTGAGGTCAAGTACATAGGTCAAAGAAGCCGATCTGGACCATTCAGAATGGCTGAACACAAAAAATTAGCGAAATACACAATAGTAGACCCTACTACAATAAGTAATTTACAGAAAAACTCGGCTATCACTGTACTGATAATCATACTACACAGTAGGATAGAGCGAAAGTCCTAAAATCCAATATAGCTAAGTGGAGAGAGAAATTGATCACAGAATCTTTGTTCATTGTATCAACACCTAACAGGAATATAATTGGAGTGATTCATTACATATTACAGATATCTGGAAATTTTTACTACGATTACAATAAAACTTAAAAAAATAAGGAACTGATGGACTAAATAAAGGAAGTTTGAAAGTCGTATGATTACTTTGATACAAATATGAGCAATAAATTCTATTCGAAAAGTCAGCCAGTAAATTATACCGTGTCACCGTGTGGTATGTCAATCAAATAAACAATCTTATGTGGAGTTATATTCTACCACAGTGACCTTTTTTTTTCTCTTGCTGCAGTCACTGGCGGTGTAAACGAAAATCGAGCCTTTTGTGTTCGTATAGAGATTTCGTCAGTCACTGACCAACCTGGACTGGTCCGATTTCCGACGTAAGTGAAGTAGTAAACACTTCATTCTGATCTGTTAGACGGGGTATTTAACTCAGATCAGTCCTGAAGAAACAGTTTGTATTCGGATAGTGAGAAACCCATCCCAAATACTCTTAAATTTCCAATTAAGGTATTCAGAAGACTCTACGTCTTGGTAATCCCCGTACTCTGCGTTAACAAAAAAAGTCCCCTATGATAACGAAGAGAGGAAGACCTCTAGGATCTTAGACACTATGTTTGTCAGACTGACTTCCCTGTGGTTGTGGTGGGATAGATTGTCGCTTCTTTTACGAGAATCAGTGACTGAGATCAATCCAAGGGAATTACATTTGACCTCCATACTCAAGTTGACACTTCAGTTAGTCTGACCCATAATCCTTGACCACCGTTCTTAAATATTACCAAGTTTTCTTCGATACAACTATTATTCTCCGTCATTTCAACATTGTTTAGTTAATTGACTATTCTACTAGCTGGATCCAAGATGAGTATTTTATTATTTTCGTCATTGATGTTACTGTTTCCTGTCTACAAAAAATCTAGACTGTGTGTTGTTCAATTCAACAGAGTATCACCATAAATGGCCTTCATATTTGGTCAACCATAGAAACCCTAACATTGTCTAATAAACAGCAAATGGATATACAAAAGAATGAATCAAGATATGATAAGTTACGTAAACAGAAGAGAGACAATACTACTCACATTATTCACGAAATCTTCTTCATTAAATAATCGCTGTTCTTCTGGTGTTTGTTGTTGATGTTGTTCGTGCTGTTTTTCAGCATCCGATGAAGGAATGACAATAGACGTATTTATTTTTGAAGAGGATGATGACAATGGTTTTGTTCCACTATCATTAATCATTAAATGTCCAAACTCCTTTTCTAATCGAGCTTCAGTCGATTCAGCATTTTTTAACAACATCTCAACAACTGTTAGACGTGCATATAAACTGGCTGTAGCCTCTTCGACAATGTTTGTTTGTTCTTCTTTACCAACCTTATCCCCAATAATAATATTATTAGCCCGCCTAACAACATGATCTCCATCACATGTATTCTGGTCAACCAGTATTCCATTCCATTTATCTTCTTGATCAGAGTAGATTTTATCATTCGGTGAAGAAAAGTCAACATCCAATTTCCATTGACCATCTGTCTTATTTTCTCCATATTTTTCATGGTGTTCATGAGCAAGCAGATTTGATAATCGAAATGATAAATCTCTTCTAAAATATCAAAGTAAAAAAAGTGGTTGATTACTGTAATGTCTACCAAACTATTTATTCTCAAACACATACATACACACACAAACACACAATAAACGTATTCAAATTGAAACTAACAAAACAACAGAACTTTGCTGAATACATTGTTCGTGTGAGATACAATTATCAAATAACAGGCATTCAAGTTTACACTTTGTTCAAACAATTTAGTATAAACGAATAAATTGAAAGGGTAGGGATCAGTTAATGAGGTAGAGTGAACCAGTAGGGAATGCTATGACTAAAACATTTATGTGCCCCAATGAAGTATCATAACTGAAGCAAGTTTATAGTGGATACAATTTTTAGTTAAGAACTTGCATACAAACAAAGCTGTTAGGGTAGTTGAAACGTCTTGACTCCTTACACTATGCAAGGTTAATCCCTCTTGATGTACCTGAAAAAAGAGTTGATACGTCATTTCAAAGCCCATGAGACATCTGCCTGAGATTTTAGTTCATATTTTTCGAATGCAACTATGAACTCATAGCACCGGTACTGTAAGGTTGCAGAATAGAGGGAACTGTTCTATTTTTAGGATCAAACATTTCTAACCCCCTCTTCTTCTCAAAGAAAAGGTAGCATTAGCGTAGAATTGGTGGTTATCCGCAAAAAATACCATTGCAGTTATCAGCCAGAAGTGTGACTCCCCCCCCCCTTCAACCTCCATCACAGTATGGGGATTTACGCTATAACAGCAACTGCTTTTTGTCTTGCTACTGTTTATCTGAACGTTATAGTATGACAGGACCTTAAGAAAATAAGCATTCCCGCAGGCATAGCTCGTTTGGTCATTCTGATTTGTAAACCTGATCACTACATGAAAGTAACAGCTATCGGTTGGGGTAAATAATGAGGGTTATGAGAAAGAAAGCTCTATCTAAAATTCATTTTTCTGTATATTTTCTAGATAGATAAATATTTTATAAGATTTAAGAACGAATTGGTTAGACTGACTGAGAAAATCAACGTAGAACCTTGCACACAAGTGCATCGGGCTCAAGTTTTCACAATTCACAGCAGTGCACAAAGAACAGGTTGATAGGAAAAGAGTGACGTCAAAGAAGATAGAGTATCGTTAGAGAACAAACAATCTGAAGATAAAGGTTAGTGAAAATATTCAAGCTTTACATGTCAAACAGTGAATACATGTGCGCCATTGTACCCGATTTCCAGCCATGTCACTAAGAGTACTCAACTACTGATTCCTTTCGTCTTAGGAACCCCAACCAGGCTGTCTACATCTCCTCACATGGCTCACATCAACAGTAAGAGACTTCATCTACTGAGCCTTCTTCCAACCTAACCCAACTTCCCCTAGCATAGTAAGTTGAGGTAGGCGGTGCCTCGGCATGCGCAGTACATGTCTAAGGCATCTCAGTCGAATTGGTTAGATACATATGAGTTACGTTGGCGAGATGAAAGTGGAATCTGCGTCATTACAATGGTTTCGCAGCGCAATCATCACCCAGTAACCCAATTGTCACATTAGTTCATTCGAAGGACTAACAAACGGAAAATTTTGCATTCATTATATATATAACTCGCATAACAAAAACTACATAAACACACTGCCGGTAACCGACACGTTGGTCTGTAAGCTCTATGCGACGTGACCCACGTTAGTAGTCATCATTCCATTCAAACAGCCTGTGAAATCAGTAATTTTAATTAATCTCTTCATATATTGTAACATTTTTAATCTAGAGCGTGTCACATTAAGCTGAAATGGCAATATGTCGGATACCGGCAGTGTATAAACACACAATGTGAAAGAATCAATTTTCACATGTAACTTATTGTAAATTCATAAATCCAAAAACTACTTCGTCATTCAACTTTTTTATAACTTGAGGAAACTAATGTCCCTTACAGATTCCAACCCGTATCACTGCGTGTTAGAATCAGTTACCTTGGCCTTCTGATAAACTCTAGTTCGAGTCTCTGAAAAAACATTAGTTCCATCGATGTTTCAGAGATACACCGTCTTGACAACTGTCCAGGCCTTTGGGCTGATATTACCTCCAACTTAATAACATCAACCAAAGTGCACCGACAATAGTGGGGTCTCCTAAATTGGTGACTACATTGCAAAACGATTGATAGAGTTCGCTCAGCATTTAGAACTAGGACAGTATCCTTAGGTTTATTGAAGCCCCATTCATAAGAATTTTCAAATCCCTGGAAATCATTGGAGAGAAATTTATTTCACGTTCACATCTCCTTCCAAAGTAATCTTTATACAACTTTCATACTACAGTTGGTGTGAAAAATATATATAATTCCTCCCTTTATCACTCTTAAATTCAAGAATGTTTGGTATGCGTTTCTCGATATCTAAAAGCAAACTGTTTCTTCAAGACTAGTTGTACACTTATGCTTCGTTTAACAACAGAGACTGAAATAGTTGAGCATGGTGACCTTACCTGAGAAGTTGGATCACTCCTTGTCAGTCAATGATTGAAGAGATCTCTGCACGCACATAAAATGCTCGATCGGCTTTCGCTAAATTACGACATTTATGGCGCTGTCTTTAATATACGATTGTCTATCAAGGGTCGAGTGTACTGCGTTGCAGTTAGCTGTGTTCCACTAAATAGTTATGAAATATAGCCACTAAAGCTCGACGACATCACAGGGATTCAAGTGTTTGACTACTATTGCCTTTGTAGCAACGACTGTCATGGCGTCACATCAGTAACCTGGAAGCCAGGTCTGAAAGAATGTGGGAAAATGCAGACTTTCTAGTTGAGATGAGATAAAGCGCGAACTACTTCCCGATTCTCAACACTAATGTCAGTCTAGTGAGTCAGTGCTTCCATGTGATGGTTGACAAACTTGACGCGTTACGAAAAGCATTTCCAACAAACTACTGACATACATCACATCAACAGCTACCACCTACACTCACTCAATACTGACACTGAAGATCAGATGGCCAGAATAATAAGAATAAGCAACAAGGAACTGTGGCTGGCTGGCTGGCTGGCAACGAAGCAACAAAGCAAGAACCCATCACCCAACATATGTGCAGAAGAAAGTGGAAATGGATTGGATTAGACATACGTTGAGAAGACCGACTAGAGACATCACTCACCAAGCCAGGTCAGTCCGTCGAGTGGAATCCACATAGGAAACGACGAGTTGGGTGTCGGAGTAGAGGGTGACATGGAGAAGATGGTATGATGAGGAGATGACGAGAAAAACCAGTGGTTGAGAACTCTACGTGATATGGATCAGAATCAATCTCAGTAGAGCAGATGTGTTCAAATACTATCTTCATTTTAGTCGTTCTACTGAACTACTTCCTCGTCCCCTTTGATAAACTCCCACTACTTTTGATTGCTTTCTGTTTTAATCATCTTACTGCTTTTGCACTTCACATGCCGATATGGAGTGTAGCAACCTGGACCATTATGCATTAATACCATATCGTACATTGCTCCTGCCCGTCTATCTTACCACTATTTAGTTTAAAATCCTCAACTGACCCCATTTTACATTCACTGTTCATGGAAAATGCTTTGACGAATAAATGTTTTTGAGATGAATGGGGATATGTAATTTAGAGGTGGTATTCATCATGGATTGACATCAGTTGCGTTACTATTGAAAATCTGGGAGCACTGGCTAGCTTTTTCGTCTTATTATGGGACTTCTCAGCAGTATGCACCCACGACCCAACTAGGAATCGAACTCATGACCTTCGGGTTTCACAGCGAACGCATGATAGTTGCACTATATCGTGAAATGACAGAAGTTGGAAATTGTGAACCACTGAAAACCAACCCAGTGTTTGAATGGTTAATGCGTTCGCCGCGGTACTTGAAGGTTCTGAGTTCGATCCCTAGTCGGGTAGTGAGTGCGTACTGTCGAGTAGTCCAATACTAGAACGAAACAGCTGGCCAGTGCTCTCACGTTTGCAATAGTTCCCCAACTGATGTCAGTTTATGATGAATACTACCTCTAAAATAGGTCATCAGATTGCTCAAAATGTATCCGATAGTACTCAGATAATATCTCTGTCTGCTCATTGAATAACGCATACTAGAAATGCCGATAACTCTATACTGATTGGATAATGATTATTTATTGTTAAACAAAATACTAATTTGTTGAATAAACTCACTTTCTCGATCGTAGACTATTTGTTTCCTGTTTAACTTCTTCCAATTGAGATGCAACAAGAATCAAAGATGTACACGGTGAAGTTGAATTCTTCATCAACTTTCTATCGACACTTTTCTTATGATCATGTGAATAGTGGCGATGACGATAATGATGATGATGTTGGTGACAACTCAAAACAGATATATGAGAGGGAATCTCTACTTGACAACCATAATCAGAATATGTATGTTGGTTTACAGAATGTTGTTGTTTGTTATTCAATGGAATATCGTCTGACTCTCGGTATGAATTCTGATCATGAATGGAGAAATCCTGAATGCACACAGATATGAAGAAAGTGGAGAGAGTTAAAAAAAAAAGTAGTAATAATATTAAAGTGAAAATATGCATAGGAATCCAGTGTAGATAATGAAAAAATTATTTATTTATTTGTTTAAAATCCATCACACAGTAGCAAACAGCATTATATTAGTGGATTACGCCTGGCACACAAATTAGTTCACTCTTTCAATCAAAGTAGGCTTAGTAAAATATCTAAGTGACACGGCCAAGAAACTTACTAGTAAGACAGAGGATCTAAGACGAGAAATCAGATACGTTAAGAATAAGTTGTCCATCAATAATTAATTACCACCACCACCCCACGCTAAATTAATCAAAAGATTCGTTAGAAAAACATGACAAGTAGCGGTAATATAGATGGTAATAATAATAATAATAATAATAATAAATAATAATGTCGATACTGTGAAGAAAGAATGCTGAAAACCTCTACGCTGTTACCATGTCCGTAACGCGATCCAGTGGATGTCTTTTCCATCATGTAATACATCTAACAAATCAACTAAAATAAAATTATATCCTACTAAAGTGATCAAGATTTACACTTATACTGACTACAATTTGAATCAATCTAAAATTATTTATTGATATTTGTAATTTCCTCTTGCCATACTAGGTCTAACTGATCAACCATTGTTGATAGATGGGCTCCTACCATGGTGCCTCGATAATACCTGGATATTCAATATATTGTGGTCCATTTGGTGGCTAGTAGTGGAATACAAGACGTATCTCTCATCTTATTTGGGGCTCGTCAGTTGGATATGCCTAGTGGATAACGCCTTGGTGTTTGAAGTGATGGGTATTAGGGTTTGAGTCTTAGTAGTAACAACATCAGTCACTGGGATGCAAGTAAATCCAGCTGACAAATCCCAACTAGGACGAGACGCACGTCACAGATTCCACTGCTAACCACCAAGCAGACTAAAACAAAACAATCTACGTTTGAAGGCATGGAATCATCCACATTTTGTTATCTAGCTGAAATAGTTGTTCTTCAAGTTGACAATGAAAAAGGGTGTTTTATTTAATGCGATTTTACTTGCAATGATTTTACTGAGAAGATGCAGAATCCACTAAAGTCATCCTTATTTTTCGGGTAAATATCTTGATCTCTGTGTTCCATTCAGACAATCAATGCTTCCTTCAGACTAAAATAGGATAGAAGGCAACTTAAACAAAAAAGTATTCGAGCTCCAGTAGCAATCTTTAGGGTACTGTGTATATCCATCCGTTAACTGTCCCATCCCTTCTGCTCACAACTTACTTGTTTACCCGTCTATCCATCAAAAACAATGCAGAATGGTCAATTAAACTTCCACAGTCAGAAAATTTTCGTTGAGTAAACACTTAATTATGTTCACTTCTGTTCTATACAAGTATTCAGCAAATCAGTCATATGAGATATAGTTAATTAGTCGAAAAATGTATGTGAAATCCCTCCTTACAATACACAGCGATACAGACTATCAGAAAACTTAAAATACATCAGTGTGTCTATCCCAGTTGCTAACCGATGAAAAAGGATCTCGATAAAAATACTATGTGATAAGTCATTTGTTGACAAATACCCACCTCAATATTAGTTTTTTCTTCCTCTACAGGAGTTACAGGAAGATAACTCGTTATTGCCAGTGAAGGTGGGCGAGTAGTTCCACCAGAACCTGGAGACGAAGATTCAGCTGTCAAGGCTACACCGGAGGAAGTAGCAGTTCGTGAGCTATTCGAAGAATATGAACCTCGATTCCAATGTGTATTGGTCTTTCTAACAAAAAATGGATCATTCGTAGTGGTACTATTCGTAGTACCTTCCATGTTCATCATCACTGTGACATGTTTAACTGGGTCATCAGATCCACAACGAACAGGAAGAGTTGACGATGAAACTGGAATACCATCAATATTGAGATTTGTCTGTAAAACTTTCGGTTTATTCCCACTTAAACAGGATACACATCGTCGAGCACCAATCAGTTTAGATACTTTCATATATTCTACGAGAGCAGGATCCCTGGATGACAGAGTGTTTTCAGCCTTCAACTTCCACAGACTAACTTCATGCGCTGAATAAGGAGAAAACGGTTAAAAATAACAGACAATTGTTCAACTGCATTACTGACACCAATTTAATGTAAAAACCAGGTAAAATCAAAGTCGTTTATGACGATAACAATTAAAAAAGATAGTTAATTCCCTGAATCAAAAGAAAAGTTGATATGTAACAATACAAATATGTTCTCCTTTTTTCTCTCGAGCAAATAAGAAACATGAAGTAAATAATGTTTATTTGGTAATTTGCTTGGTTGTGGCTAGCAGAGGAATCCAGGACGCACGTTTCGTCCTACTTGAGACTCATCTGTTAAATGTACCTGCACCCCAGTGAGCGATGTTGTCCCCGGCGGGACTCGAACCTCGTACCCACCGCTTTGAACGCTGCAACGTTATCCACTAGGCCCTAGAGGTACGATAGCCACCTATAGTACAATGGGTATTAGGTAATAAACAATTTATTGACATATTTGTAATTCTCCGTTGTTTTATTGGATAGAATTGTCCCACCTCTATTGGCATATGGGCTCCTATGCGAATGTCAACATACGTCGGTGAATTCGATCCAATAAAAGAACGGAGAATTACAAGCATATTCATAAATAATAATATTTTCTTGACCCGAGAAATGAGATAGGTGGTAAAATCTATCCTAGCGTCTAAAATAACTGTTACACCGGTCGCAAAAAGGAAATCTAGGATCTCAGATAAGTGTATTACTAGTCATATTATTTTATTTATTTTACAATAAATTTCATTTATGACTTATTTGAGAACATTATTGTAGGATTCACTCTGCTCAAGAACTTCTAACTAACGCCTCATCCATTTCTGTAGCGCCTACAGTTCGGAAATAATTACATGTTGACTTTGATATCAATTAGTGTGAATTGTTTTATTAGCATTTTGACTACGTGAAATGAAAATTTGGACCATGGTCGGACTCAAATCAGAAACCACCGGATTTTCCTGCCGGATGCTCTACCAACGGAGATATGGGGTCCGGCTAAGGTGCACATTTTCATTTCACCTTCAATCATCACACAATATCAATTATTTTATTGTTTTTCTATGAAATCTGTTCTTTCATTTTAATAAATTACAGTGTGTTGTGGTCATTTAATTTAGTCATATATCTGTACATAATGAACAGATGATTCAGCTTGTCAATACACACGGGCAATGTACACTGGAGATTTTCTGTTGAGAGGTATTGAGAAGGGGAAATTAAGCCTACGAAGTGTGGCAAATATATGCCAGAACAAAAAAGTGCATCAGACAACTCTATAGCTAGGCAAAGTTACAGACTTACTGTAAAAGTCATTCTATCAGTTGCTGAAGTAACTAATTATGCTGCGGTATTTTGGCTGAGATGTAGTTGTTCATGAAATAACGAAAAGTAATTGTCTATCTCAACAAACATGCACAGATCCGTATGTTTTTCGATTACGATCGCTTTTTATTCACCTAAAAGCCTTTCGTAAACTGATCTCCTGGCTAAGTTTCATAAAGAGAGTAGTACCTAGTAGAAGTTCACAAAGAAATCTACCGCACTTTCATTTCTCGAAAAGTAAAATAGTATCAAACTGTATTTTTTCATACATAAAAAGTATGAATATGCTTCAATATTGCATATACCTTGAGGTGACAAATGATCAACTGTGAAATCAACCTACGAAGTAACAGATCAAGTATAAAAACAATAAGAAATCAAATACATGTCGTACCTGAATTCCTTTGGCTGTCATCATCATCAATATCGTCGCCATGAATAACATCAGTACCTGTAGTACCAGTGTTAGAGTCAGTTTTATGCAAAGTAGTAACATCTGAAGGTGGAATAAGTGTAAAAGCTGAACACAATGAGGATGAATTTACTATTTCAGAGTCAATAGCTACAGCATTAGAGGTTGAAACAGTGATCCACGCTGTTGTGCAGGCTAGACTGGTTATTCCAATTGTTTCAGTTGGCATAGAAATACAACCAGATGTGATCTTCTCTGGTTCACTGTAAACATCATCATCATTTGAAGAAAATTGACAACTGGAATTTGACTGAGTATGCGATTGAAATTGTTTGGTCGTCTTCGTATGTGCATGGTTTTTATGATTATTCTGCCGACTTGCATCACAATCCTCATGATAAGTTTTGGTCCTCTGTTTATCGGCTGGGACTGAATACTCTAAACTACTCATACTGGCATATCTGCGATGAGTTGAGGCTGTAGAGTTATAAGAAGACTTATAGTTGGGCATATTTCTTTCCTTTTTAGATCGAAATTCTGAACAGCCATCAGACTATATCATAATACAGAAAAACCCAAAACAAAACTATGAGTAAGAAGAAAAATACCCCATGCTACACGAGTTGATCACCAATGGGGTAGGTAACCCATGCACCTATCGAGTTCAGATTTTAGTGCTTAGCATTGGTCGAAGTCAATCGACCAAGTTTTGCAATATAATCACCAATAAGTGAGATGACGCGATCCTATTGTGCACTGTATTTTAGAGTTAAATACTGAGAAACAATCTCCAAGATGCTCTGAACCTAGGTTTTTTGCTTGTTGGCACTTATGAACAAGGTGTCATCTTGTTAAAAGTTGATTTCGTCTCCAATAACTTATCTAAAACAATTTAGTAGTCAATCTTTGTGAATCAGGTTCCCTCACTGTTAGATATTTTACGCGCAAAACGTTTCTACAAATAACCGTTCTTGTCGCAAAATGATAAGTAATAAACTGCCACAGATAAATGCATATATAAGGAGAATAAAGAGTAGACATTTAAGTCCTGTATTCACACTGATTGATGCAGCTTTCAGAGACCCAATGAGTAGTGATATTCATCAGAAAGGTAGATTTTAGATAGATTTTAACTTGCATTGCTCAATCTTGGTTGAAAGAAATGTGATCAAGCTATTAAGAAAACACTTAAATCCTGATTTAAAAAAAGCTGGTCAAATTGCATATCCTACTTGATAGATAGTAAAAGAGAAACTGATGTTATCCAATCAATTTACCCGCTTTCCGATTCTGCGCTTCAAAAACGTTTGCTCATGATGCTAATAAACGACAGATAAAAGCTGCGGCAATACAAAGACACAGTCTCGAAGCATTGTCTGTCTGCTAATCCAAAAACCCGCAGTACAGCTTCAGCGTATATATATATATATATATATATATATATATATATATATATATATATATATATATATATATATGGAACCACCTTCACGTAATCACTAAGTGCAACTTTGGTGACTACAATATATTGCTATAACCGCCTATATTCTCGTGGTCGTGAGAACCAGCACTGTATATATCAATGATAAACGAAGGTTCATAACCTCAGAGAGTGTACACCTAAACTCGGCATTGTTCTTACAGTGATACTGTCATATGTAAGTAATGCTGTGAAGACAAGTGTGTTTTTAAACCTACAATTTCTTCATGTCTCCTACTCTCAATGGTCGTTTCACATCTATATAACATGAGAGAACGGACTACAGCACAGTATACCCATCGTTCAATAGGTAGTCGAATATCTAGGAAGTCAGTACTTCAAATGATGCACGATAGAAGGGCTAAACAGGTCCACTGTATTCAAACTAAAATTCGTCAGGAACCAACACATTTAGGTTTGTGCATTTTCCCGAGTAAGTATAGAGGTCAAAGTATTATACCACTTCACTTTCCATGTTTAAACTGTGAGCAGCTGCAGACTAGTTCTCAAAAATCACCTTACTTTTGACGCAGCAAAACGTATGCCAACTGCACTTCAGTAGAAACAATTAGCTATATTGACAAAATTACCCTCCACCTAAAGGAATAATTTATTCCAGGCAACGTAATCCGCTATTAGTGAAGGCAGGTAGGTGATTTTCCGTACAAAACAACCGGTAGTATACAGTTCTTTATTTAAAGTACGAGAAAACGAAATCGACAACATGTTGAGTGTTTCATCAAACCTCTCACAAATACATCATAGTTATTTTAAGAAAGAATGAATACGAAGAATCAATCAATCATAATCCCTAATATGAACATCCACTCTGCATGAATTCATTGACAGCCTATATATAGAACAAGGTTTCGAGTGCTATGTGATTCTCCACATTATAGGGCTGATCGATTTGGATAGGCATTTGAGCAACAGGAGAGGAAAAAGTTATTGATCAAGATTGTATATATTTATCCTGAATAATTTATATGATCAAAAGGTTATTGTCCAGTTTGTTTTGTCTTATGAAATTAGTGTGTCGACAACAGTATTAAAAAATAATAATAATAAATAATAAATATAAAAATAATTATGCATTTAAAACATGGTAACTCTTAGGCTATTTTATTTACTCGTCTACCAAACAATGGTTATTTCAATCCCATTGGTAATCAACATGACTCTCAGCCCGCTCTAATTCAGCTCAATTTCAAGTGTGATGAGAAGAACTGGCTGAATAGCCAATATGATTATGATTAATGAACAATTACCTATCACGGATTCAAATAGCAGCCGGAAAAAACCCTTGCTGACTGAAGTGAAACTGTGACCTAGTGAGCAGCTAGGTCTTGTAGCTCAGTTGGTAGAGCACGGGGCCAATAAAACGGAGGTTACTAGTTCGTAACCTTCAGTTATCGAGATATTCACTTCACCTTAACTTCAATCATCTACCAGTATCAATAATACGAGTCCACCAAACCATAGCTATGATACATATCTCAAGAACAATACAATGCAGATGTATACTTATCAAAGTTTATCTAATTACTGTACATGCTAACAGTTTCACATCAATTTATTACTTGTCTGAGATGGCAGTAACCTTTGCTTCGCATTTTCTCTTCCACAGGTTACATTCAACATTAAAATCTTGAAAAATAGTGAACCAAATAAAATTTTATATTGACTACCATGTTACTTTAAGATGATGCTAACCCACCCATAAAGAGAATATTTTACACGAACTTTGCACCTAACTTGTTGTATCCAAAGATAGAAATAATGAAAGCGATAGCCAATCAGTTACGAATATTCTTCACATGTCTATCTCGTTCTCATTCTGATTGGACTTCTTACAGATTTAAGGCGTTGTTATGTTTTCTATCTATCTTGATACATACAATATACGTGTGCATTGTGCGGGTTAGCGGCCTAATTTTGTCTTCAAATTGAGTAAGCTGGTGTGATGTTAGTGGTTGTTGGATCAACTCGCACATAGTAACTCGAGGAAAAATAATGGTTGGGGTCAGTGTTGGGGATTCCCCTCATTTCACTAATCATAGGACCCAATAGGAAACCCAAACTGGGGTTAAGGTCAGAACAATTGGCCAAACCGTCAAATAGGAATCTAAAATAACTCAAAACAGAACTCATGCAATACTGTATATATATCACAATAGGTTCTATCACTCACCTCCAAGTTAACAGTAGTAGATGTAGGCAGTTCTTCCTGATAACCGCCTAAATCATCAGGTGTAATATTCGATGAAGTATAACTGCTTGTAATTGTACCAGCCATAGATTCACATGTACTCGGTCCAACTGACGGCAGTGGAGGTAATGGTTGAGATAATAGCCTTCGACTAGGCGGAGGAATATGCCAATGAGATGTATTGTAAGCTGATGGGGTATTTAATTCATCAGAATACACTGGAACGGGGACTTTAGTAGAAGAGCCAACTATTAGTAAAGGTGAACTCCATCGTCGTTTAGATAGACCAATAGCAGGACTTTTCGGAATTTCTGTCGAGTCAGTTGGAGGAGTAATTGTAACATTAATATCAGTAGTACTGGTTATAGACGATGCTGTTGGTTGTGGAGGGCATACCTCATCATAGATGACCATACCTGAATGGTTTGTATTACTTGCAGCAGCACATGATTCGTGTCTTTGATTAACAATAAAAGCACCATCATTTGCGTCATTATCATCACCATCATCATCATGTATCTCAGAATAATACATTGAAGTTTGTGAAGTTTCCATAATTGAATTTGGAATACGACCGATCCATGATGAACTGACGGTTGGAAATGCTTGATGTCTCATTACTGCGGTATGCTGAAAACTGCCATCTTGTACAACCGAAGGGTGAACATTTTTACTAAGATCTGTTGAAGAGATTCTATCCAATGAATCACCTATAGAATTACAAAGCAAAAAAAGTCAACAATAAAATCGAAGTAGAGAAAAGTGACAGACTGTAAATTATAATTACTGTCAAGAAGGAATTATTACAAAACTACTTTTCATCATAAACATGTATTAGTAAATGAACTACTTATTATAAAATAAAAATTGTTGAACAATTGAGATGATGAAAAACATTTATAGCTCAGGAGCATGATCTTAATGATGTTTTTTTCCTCTGAAGTGGATACCTTAATAGTGAAGCTTTTCGTTGTCATTCTAGACAACATAGAATAAACTTCAGAAAGAAGTGATCCACGGGATTTTCTCCACAAGTGACTTGTCATTATGATCTTGGGTGTGACTGGTCGCCATTATCTCTATATGTATTTCCATTGTTTTTCCCATCATTGTGAACTTCAACGTTCTTATTGGTTGATAGATTAGGTTAAATATCAATATGTCTGTTGATTGTTGACTGACCTGAATGCCAAACATCTGGAAAAAATTCTCCGGCATTCTCTTTATTTTTCTTCTATTCAGGATTTTCACGTTTTCCTAGTCAAATTCATGTTCATAGTTGTCTCTATATGTTTTGATACGAACGAAAGTAGATTCGCAACGCTTTACTGATAGTTGATGTTCATGTGGATAGATATGAAAAGGACAATTACTAGAATGACAATGAAAGCTTCACGATTAAACTATCCGACTTAGAGAACGCAATACTATCAAAACTATTAAACAAATATTTCATCTGAGTTTATGATTCCTCAGTACTAGACACTTTCAAATCTTGGTGAGTTCGAATTCAAATTTTCCAAATCATCTTTCTGTTTAGTTAGAATCTTATTAATGGCCCTGTTTGCCACAACCATCTTTATAACGCTTCTCAGTTTTTATTGCATTTGGTTAAACATATCTGAACACAAAGAAGCACACTCCAAAAGGATTGCACGAAGTCTTGCAGACCTAAAGGAGGGGGGGAGAGGAACAAAACTACTTTTTTTTTATGAAAAACGAACATATCTAGGGTACAACATGATGAACATCTTATATTTTCATCATATTCCTTAGAAGTCTAGAACAAATGTATACTGGGTAAAAGTAGGAACATAGTTGACACAGTGTCACTACTCATCCAGCACTTTGAGGAAGTAATATTTTCGACCAACTTAATTGACAAATGTCTTTTGAATCTCTCTTTCGTTGACTTTCACGATCCAACCATAATTTGAAACTCTTATGTCAGATCTAGTCAACCTAGAATTCAGTTGACTTCGTTTATTATCATCCACTAAAGCCTGCTGAAATGAGTCGTCATACATGGATTTATTTCAAGGAAATATTCATCACAATCTGACACCAATTGGATAACTATTGAAACTTAAGACAGTTGCTTCGTCTCAGTGGTTGAAAGGTGAGGTGCATATCATGTCAATTATTGGTGCACCACCTGATCTCTTACGGAAGCATGAGTGCGCAATACTGAAGTATGCCATGCTAGGACAAAACACCTGTCCAGTACTCTCAAGTTTTCACTGATTTGCCAACTGATATCAATCCATAATAAATACCTATTAAACTTCCAAATTAAAGTACATAAGTTGATACAAATGCAATTGCTTGAAGACCCATTGGCATTTACAAAAGGAAACAGCCATGGATTCTTAGCAAGCAATCTAAATTTTTGTTCTGCCATTCTTGCAAACCACAGATGAATTTGTCGACCAAACTTAATCCAGACAGTTCAATTATGTAAAGGCGTACTGAGACCATACTTACGTTTCTTTTGTATATCCGCATCCACAGAATTGTCTGATGAAGAAATAAGACCCAGTGCTTGAATAAATCCTCTAATCCATGCACCCATTTGTAGTTTATCCATAGCGTCAAATAATAATGGTGTAGAACATTGTGTAGGCACAGCAAGACGAATAGCTGATGAATGACGCTTATCTCCTCCGGCTAGACCTAATTCAACTTTGCCTGCTTCTAATGGTAGGGAAAATAATGGCCAACTATAATCATCCATATAATCTGTGACAGTGTTACGAACACAGTTGTCAGGCTCTCTTTTATTCAAGTATATTTCAAGACATTTCGATTTCAAGCAACACCATTTCGTGGTCCATGGAACCCGCCCAGGAATGGATATGAAAGCATGACCTGCATAGAAGAAACAAGATTTTTTTTTCTACAAATAATTTAACAACAGCATGGAAAATATGTAAAGACAAAAGAATAACTATGCTTCAATGACGGGCATTAATTTTATGATCACAATACGAAAGTTATACATTTTTCTCACTGATAGAAGATAAATGACACGTAAATATCAACTAGTAATGGTTCCAAGAGGCTTCGCATAATAATACCATTACCTTGTCCAAGGTGTTCACTGTTCTTCGTTCAACATTATTTGTTGATACTTGTAACTTCTCGTTGTTACATTGGATCGAACTGGTCGACCTCTGTTGGCATATGGGCTCTTATTCAGATACTTCGATAATGTCTCTATATATCGATTCATATAATTTACATGGTGATACGTAGTAGCAAAATCCACGTTGTGCGCTTCATCCCGTGCGGGACTCATCGGTTGGATGTACTAGCCCCCCCAGTGACTCATGGTGCTCCCAATAAGACTAGAACATCGAGCTCATCGCTTCAAACGCCGAAGCAACATCCAACAGGAAAATGAGGCACGACAGCCACTTATTAAAAGGACGGAGTTAGAGTATCAATATGAATACTATCGCTAATTGCGACGCATATACATAAAGCTGACGAACACGAAACGCGCGTCCTGGATTCCATTGCTAACTGATGACTAAGCTGTAACATGATAAGTGTTCAGGTAGCATCAAAGAATCAGCATAACAGAAAATCTGCCACCAGATGTCAATCAATTTGACCCAGCGTAGCAACAGGAAATTACACTGACAACTGACTGACAAAACCAACGTACAACCACGCAAAACAAGTGCATCGGCTAAAGTTGCCACACCTCACAGTAGTGTACAAAGAACAGGTGGATAGGAGGAGAGTGATATCAAAGAAGATGAAGTAGTGTGAGAGAACACATCCTGAAGACAGAAGTTAGTGAAAATATTCAAGCTTTTAAAGATATCAAGGAGTGAATACATCTGCACTATTGTGAGCGATTTTCAACCATTGCACCAAGAGTTCTCAATTACTGATTCCTTTCGTCTCAGGGACCTAAATCAGGCAGATTATACCGCCAACAGTAAGAGGCTTCATCGACTACTGCTACATGTGGATCTGGTCCCCTTCAACCTTCTTCCAACCTAATCCAACTTCTCCTAGCATGGAACGTCAAGGTAGGCGGTGGAAGGTTATTTTGGGGGCCCATCTTTTCTAACCTCCCATTTGCGTAGTGAAGGCAGCATAAGCAGTGGACTGCTGGTCATCCAAGAAAAACACTTTACTGCTGTCACACCAAGTCCAGCTAGCGGAAGTATGACTTAGCCCTCAGGCCGCCATTGTATTGTAGCAATTTATACAACAACGGTAATTACTTTCGTTATTACCATCCAACAGACCTTTCTGGTATGGTAGGACCTCGTGGGAACAATTGTTTGACCAGCACAGCTCGTTGGGTCATTGTGATATGCAAGCCCGACCACCACGTGAAGGCAGCAGTTTTCGGTCGGGATAGAAAACAACGAGTATCAACAATTACTAATAACAAGTACCTGCTGGACAAGACGTATCTCTCGTGTCTCAGTAGCCTAATGAATAACGCCTAGGCGTCTAAAGCAATAGGTAAAGGATTCGAATCTCAGTGGTAAAAGCATCACTCACTGGGATGCAGATACATCCAGCTAGCGAGTCCCAAACAGGACGAAATGCGCGTGGTGGACCATACTGCTAAAAAGTACCGAGTAAATTAAAACAATATTCGTTCATGACAGTGTTGTTTGACGATAGTTTCTAGGATTAACTAACATGTATATTTGAATATTTGTACAAGACCAAGAAATTCTATGCTAAAATTCCTACTCTACCAACAGACTTGAAACACTGATCAATTAACACCTTTTCCAACAGTTAACAATACTTTAAAGGTATCAGGGGCTAGATTTAAGCAACCGTTTGTGATTAACCCTGAAATTTTATATCTTAATACTTTGTGGTAGAAGTAAGGGTATGGATACGCCGCATGCTTATCTGACACTAAAGGACAGTATACCACAGTATTGCGTCAGCGGCCAAATTGCGAAACTGATCGACAGACTTCGGTCGGTACTGAGGACTACCGACCAGATAAGCATATGAGGGTTACCTTTTGGTGATTGACTCGTGTACCTAATCCAGTCTTGCATGCGATCGACTGTGGGCTGAATAGATAAATGGCAGAATCTTTCATCTCAACACTGAGTGGTGCAGGTTTGAATTACTGAGAAAATATCAATTTCATTATTATTGAATATACAACATTTTGATGACTGCCAAGAAGCATGTATCCTAAGTATGCAGCATCCTGTCAAGTGACTTCTAAGATCTAACGCCATGTACCAATTAACTGAATGGTTGCACTTTGATATCCCGTTCGTTCTGTTTAATCGATATCCAGAGACTGTTTGGATATTTCATTTGAACTATAAGTGAGCTGCAAACTATGAAAAGAATCTATTGGTGACCTACTAACTATCATGGAAGATTAAAATATACGGCTAAGCGAAATGAAAAAAATACACGCAACTACAGCTTTTCTTGTTGTCAAAGTAAGTTCAAATGTGGATTGATCTTCAAGAATCGGTTTGCATTTGATACGTAGGCAACTCAACGAAATATCATGCATGTTTATGTACGAGACTGAGTCACAGATAAAGTGTGACAGCTTATGATAACCCCGATGATACTACTAATACTGAAGTAGATGAAGTGAGGCTTGAGCACTCGGAAAGTTAATCATCCACGTCCCACTTTGATAAACATGAAGTGGAAATGAAAGCTCCTCAAGTCTTTGTGCAACAGTTTCAGTGTTTTCAGCCAACTAAGACTGCACAAGACTAATACCATCACACTGAATGAGAGACTATAATGTAGACAACAATCAGAAAGCAGAATGGTTTAAAGACACCTCTTAAAACTGGTGACTACTTTTATCTAAGATGCTGAAATATACAATATTTTGGAGGAATAATCAGTTATATTTTAACTACAGTGACTCAAAAGTGTACGAGTTATAACAGAAAAAAATAATCGTATTGAACTCACCTGACATTACTATTTGGTTATCATTAGGCGTTTGTGAAGTGATAGAATGTGACCTGATTGAATTTAAATCCAACAATGGACCATGTTTTGGTGTAACATTTAAATTTCCTTGTGAAGAAGCAAACATATCGAACAGTGCTAGAGAATCGTAACACATAGAACGCGGTCTACCAGATGTTGAATTTGAGATAACTGATGATGTGTGTTGGTTTAAAAATCGTGCACCAGCGGATTCTAATTGAGACCAACCAAACCCTTTGCCAGAACTTCCAGACGAATCCCATATGCAAGCTGCCGCTGGTGGAGGAGGAGGAGGTGGTGAGAACATTTTCTGCTGCTGCTGTTGTTGTTGAAGGCATTGAACCGATGAAAATTTAGAGCATGATAAACTATTTTTCCACTGACCATCACTCAACATCCGTCTATGGCCCATAAGTATTTCACTGTGCAGTAAATCAGAATGATTTTCAACAGATAAGCTGTTAGGTTGTAAAGACTGTGGAAGAGATTTACGTGCACGACGTTTAGAACTGAATGACTCCACTTTTCGACGCATTGACGAAATTAAGCTGTTACGACGTAGATTCTGTTTCGGATTTATCGAGTTTGTATCGAATGTTGATGACGATGATGATGATGTCATTTGCAAAAGAAATTTAGTTGGTATCGGATTAGATGACAAACAATGATTTGACTCATTCATATCAGTATCAAAATAGTCACTGGCAGTAACTAAATCTACAGGAGAAGTCATAACGTTCACCATTGTTTTTTCCGTAGAAGTACGATTACATTTGGAATCAGTCTCACGTGACCGATATCCAACATTACTGTCATCAAATGATGAACTTTTCGGGTGATTTACAGATTCAAGAAATCTATCGGTTCGATTGTGTTCGGTGAATGATGAAATTGCAGCAACAGACAAGCCACTATCCACCTGCAATATTAAATAAGTGTTTTTTTAAGGTATGTACAACAAAAGGACATGAATAACGCTCCGTCGGACTGAAAACACGCCAAAAGCTTATTGTAAAAAAAAAAACCGGAAACTCTCTCTTATCAAATCAAACAGTTCCCCAATATCTTGAGTACAAAAGCAGATTGGATAAATCTTTCAGTAGTAAACTAATTTCCTTACATATTGAGGTGTTAGAAAATCGACCAAACTGCAAGTACTTTTCATGACCAAGTGATGAATTCAGACAAATTACTTGGGGTTAAACAGCAATGAATAGGTGTCTTGCTTAAGCTTCAAAATGCATATAACACCGAGACAAATACATATTCAATCACTTACAAAGCAGAGGTCATACCGCTCAAGCCTAATGATGACGAGAAGTTAGCCCTTTGGAATTCAATGGTGTATACTTTCCTAACTAACTGCAACAGGCCCCAATCTTACTGCAACTACTACTAACCGCTGTCGATTTTTCACCAAAGACAAAATTATTTCCTGTTCGATTGTAGCTTTCATTGTAAAGGAATCGGCTATGACAAATTATCCTGGAAGTTACTTGGACCATAAATGAACGAAACAGAATCCACTCATCAACCTGTGCAATAGATGATGAGCCAAACCTATTGTGTGAGGGTTAACGATACAAACTCACTACCTAGACCTCGATAAGTGGGGCAATGCTCGGACCTGTGACGCACCGGTTGCAAGTCGACTTCCTAAACCAATGAGCCAAAACTCTACAGCTTGAATCACAGCCAGGAAATAGTTGAATAATTATCTAATACGTAATTCATGCTGTATATTAATGATTAACTGTTCTTCAGTCTACATAATGTATGTATAAAAGACATCATATTATTGCTGTTCATTTTTAACTAATAACAACAAGAAATTAAAAGACAAAGAAAGAAAGAACTACCAGAAAAGTGAGATGAATAAATCCATAAAGACAACTAAACGATAAGGATAGAACATTTGTACTGGATTTGCAGCCCATGAGTTCCCTCGTTTCGACTAGGTGCTTTTCGACCTGGCTCACCTGACAGTGATACAAGCCTTCATAGATTAAAGGTGAACCACCACCTGCAACACAAACCTATATAGGATTGTTGAAAACAGTTAAACATTTCAAACTCATAAACTTCACCGGTTGACTGAATTCACACTCCGAGTAGAATAGTAAGTTGATTTCGGTAAGGCATAGCTAGTGTTCATATTAATCAAATGGATCTAATCCACAAACTGCAAGCGATAGCACCTAACCATATTCGTCATACAAAGAGTGGTTGCCATAACTCATTTTCCTTGGGGATAACGCGATGGTTACTGGATGAGGACGACTATGTTCGCTGGGAAGTAGGTACGACCAGTTGGCGAATCCCAAAATGAAGAAACGTGCATTCCGGATTCCACGCCTTGCCACTATCCATCAGAACTACTCTTGAATTCGATAAGCTGTGTGTTGACAATCTGGACTGACTTAAGGCGACTACATCGACCTGTATATTTGAATTTGCAATCATTCCATAGGATTCAGTAGATCTACTTGTTTTATGTATAATGAACTAAGATTTCAATCTGTAGGTTTGTGGAGACTTATTAACTGGTTTCAAGTTGGAATTCATCATGGACTGACATCAGTTAGAGAAACATTAGGAACCTGGGAGCACAGGACAGCTGTTTCGTCCTAGTATGGGACTACTCAGTAGTGCCCACCCGCGACCCCACCAGGGATCGACTAACTTCGAGAGGTCGTGACCAGTGGAGCCAACCAAGTCAAACATGAGGACAGTTACTCAATGACTACATTAGATGAAGGTCACACTATATCATGAACTGACAGAAGCAGGAAATATGGACCACTGAATTTCAACCCAGTGGCTCAATTGTAACGTGCTGGCCGTGGAACCCGAAGGTACTAAGTCCAATCACTGGTGGAGCGGTATACTGGTTGCGCGCTGCCGAAGAGTCCCATACTGGGAAAAAACAGCTATTCAGTGCTCCCAGATGTCCAATGTTCCTCTAGCTGATGTCAGTCCATGGATAAAACCGAACTTGGATTTCTTAACCGACGTTTAATTCCAAACCAGAACTTTCATAGTCCCATAAAACAAGAATTCGATTTCAGAAACCCTTGATACAATTGTCTATAAGACGTAGATTAAAGTAGTATTCAAATTCACCAACTCTTTATGGATTACGAAGTTCTTCTGGATGTATTTCAAGCGTAACAATTTGGTCAGTCAAACTATATGCTGCAACTATCAATTAGTAGACCGAAATTATTCTGGTTACCAGTAAAAAAAATCTAACCCAGATATATTTTCTGAGGAATAGTTATATTACTTGACGAGGTGAATGGTACTATAATCATACTATTTTCAAAGTCCACCTTTATTATCAGTGCGACTAACTATCAAAAGTGCATCGCGAAGGTAAGCATCGTAGCTTGCTGACCACATTGCAAAATGATCTGTAGAATCCGACCAGAGATCAGGACTAGAAAAAAAGAGATTGGTTGCTCTCTGGTGTCCAATCAATGTACTTAATCCAGTCCTACAGGGGGTCAAACGCTTCCCGAGTAGCTCAGTTGTAAACGTTGCTGACTGTAACACTGGGTGACACATGTTCGAAACTCTAACGAGACATCAGTTCCGTTGAGGTTGCAGATATGCTTTGCTGACGACTACCAACAAGTAAGAAACCTAGATCCAGGGCTTTCTGCCTATTACATCCGTCCAACTAACAGCCGTGGTCTGGTACACTCGGATTATTGATACTGAATAATGATTGAAGGTGAGATGAAAATCTGAGTTGTGGTGGGATTCAAAACACCTGTCTCCGGAGTACCAGTTCAGTAGCCTACCAAATGAGCTAAGAGGTCAAGCAGCTGACCACAACTTAATTTCACTTCAATCATCAGGAGTTTAACACGGTTGCTACGTGAATAAGTGAAACTTATTTATTACACAAACACCGAGGGAACACAGACGTTTCCATACAACCCAAGTCTTATTTACTCTTTCATCAGTAAGTCAGATTGTTTCGAATAACGAACCAGGCTTTTTGAAACAGTACTACCAGTTGAACAAGACAAAATGAACACCTAGAATCACTTTTACAACATTGTAAGACGAAATGTTTCCATAGAGAACTTACTTGCGAATTAATTAGGGTAAACACGGTATGACACGCATAAACGAGTAAACAGATAACGAAAGAAATAAAAGCGACATAGACATGTACACCTTCCAGATCAGTAAAAGCATAGAATGGTGGATTGAAATTTTCTCAGTGATAAATGGAGACAAAACTGAAGTCTAACCTTCGCGTAAATAGATTGTGAACAATTCAATCATGTCGATTTCACCAACAGATAAATTCTGTGCATATATATATATATATATATATATATATATATATATATATATATATATATATACATTAGAGTCTTGACTTTCTAGTTGCATGTACAGGTATATACAGTATACAAATAAATACACCCAAATTACGATTTATCATTTCTACGGTAATTGGAGACAATTGGTTGAATCCTAACACAAAAAATATCCTTTAAAAGGTATTGCATTTTTAACAATGACACTCAAAAGAATTCGTTGAAAATCGAAGAAATCAATTTGATACTAGAGCAAAGAAAACTCTTACCTGTGTACATGTTACTTCTATGGAGACAGGACGATTGTTAGAACCAGATGATTTTGAAGATAATAAATTACGATCATTTGGATGTATATTCAGTGGATTGGTAATCTTACTTGTAGATGTTATACTAATGGTTTGTGTGCTGGCAGTATTTGGTACACTAAAGTGTGGCAAAAATGAACACACTTCCGTTGGTGTTATACCTTCAGAATACTGGTTGATTTGCTATAAGGTTGATTTTCCAACAACAAAAATGATCCGAAAACAGAATGATGTACAAGATGATAATATAAATGAAAGTCATCAGAATAGATGAACTGTAAAAATTTCAAACATTATCATAATCTAGATTAATTTTTTTTATTATCCAAAGAGACCATAATTTCCGATAACTTGAGAAAACTTACCGTACAGTTATTATTTGTTGATACTTGTAGTTTCTTGCTGTTATACTGGATCGAATTGACCAATCTATGTTAGTATAGCTGCTTGAATGCAGATCCCTCCATATTGCCTGAATATTCATTATGCTATGTGGAATCACTGTATCAGTAATGTCGAGGTTAGGTGAAAGGTACTAGGCAAGAAAGGTCAGTTGGTTGTTTAGAATGTGAACCTTTATAAGCTGAGGTGGCTTGAACATGTACTGGGCATGTCGAGCCATCGCCTAACTCGATGTCCAATACTAGCAGAAGTTGGATTAGGTTGGAAGAAGGATCAAAGTGACCAGGTTAAAACGTGACACCACTGCATGAAGTTCCTGTTGGCCTAAGCTGTGTAGAAAGCTAGTGACTATCTGGGTGGGATCCCCGAAATCATAGGAACCAGTGGTTGGATAGCATTGGTAACATAGCTGAAAATCGGTCATAATGGTACAGATGTATTCAATCTTCGACGGTTTCTTAAACTGGAATGTTCTGAACAACCTTAATTTTCAAATCCCCTTTCCTACCATAAACCTAAGCCTACTTTGATATCAGTCTTTTTCTATTCACTTGTTCTTCGTATGTTGCTGTGAAGTGTGACAACTTGAACCGATGCGTTTAACGGCAAGGTTCTACGTTGATTTCACTTGTTATTACGTTATAATCATTCGGAAAAAACACCTAAAATGAAGATAACTTCATCAATGTAAGATATTTGATTAGTAAGTTTTCACGTTGAATGTCCTAGGCAATATGCACCTGATACCTTAATATTTTTGAGATACAAGTTAACACCTCTCTCAAAGGTTGAGTAAATACCGGTTAGTTGGTATTCTCCAACTTCGATCAATCGGTAATAAGTAATGATAAATTAAGAAATCAGAAAGCTTAGCATAAGTTGCCCTTTACCATAAACTTTTAAAAATAGACAAGAACAGTTATTCACCACAATCTAACTTATAGTGATAGACATTATACTATGTGCTGGCTAAGAAAAAGTCAAATAAGATGACAACAAGCAACTTAAGATAATCTATTACATAAACTAATAGAACCACTAGTGTGTCATACATGTGAAGGAAATCAACACAAATGATTTTCTAAATACACGACAAGCGACAGCTAATTATAATCAAATCTAGGTAGACAACACATGGGAAAAGGAAGGCGAATATATATATATATATATATATATATATATATATATATATATATATATACTGAGATGTTAAATGAGTTTTCTGATTAGTGGTTTCCATTGACCCAAACAACTAAAGCAGAAAGGGCTTCACAGCTTGATGATACTAGTTAGTGACTTTATGGATCACAATGAGACGTCTTTCAGAAAGAAAAATGCGGTTCACCCCTAATCTAATACGATTTCACCTACATATCTATTAGAGCATAGATGGTGGCACAGAATATGTAAATTACATCTCAGTTACTTTAATCAGCATGGGTCACACATTATATGATGGATGATTCGGTGTTCTAATCCATAACTCGGCATGTAACTTCAATAAACCAAGAGCATTTGGTACTTCAGCACAAGTGTATACAAATAATATTGTAGTCTATTTGGTGGTAAGCAGTGAAATCCAGGACGTGCATTTTGTCCCATATGGGGCTTGTCAGCTGGATGTACTTGCAGCCCAGTGAGTGGTGTTGTCCCCGAGGAGACTCGAACCCTGAACTCATCGCTTCAAACACCACAGCGTTATTCACTAGGCTACTGAGACGCAAGAGCCACCTCTTGTGTAACGGGTATTTTTTTTAATTATTGTTCATTAATACTTTCAATTCCCTGTTGTTCTACTGGGTCGAACTGTTCGACCTCTGCTGTCAGATGGGCTCCTATGCGAATGCATTCAAAGAAGGTGACAGATAGAACGGCCAACGTGATGAAATGAAAATTAACACATATATAATGATTAGTCTCTTCGTACTATATACAAACAAACAGGTGGTCACAACAACGCATAATGTAGCACAGAAAAAATCGGTTCCGGCTGCATAACAGCTCAAAATCAGAACCATTCGAAGGAAATCAAGCGATGAGAAAAAACAATGAACCGAAACGCGCTCAGCAATCTTGTGCACATTCGCGCAATAGACAATGAGCCACACCTAATGTTTGACGATAAATGATAATAACTGGCTGCACAGACCTCGCCAAGTGGACCCATTGGTGGAAAGTCAACTGACTAAAACAAATGAACCGTAGCTCCTAATGAGAAAACATAAGAAGTGGAATATCATCAGAGAAGAGTGCTGAAGAAAGCTTGAATCGTTTGATCCCAAATTGGATGAAAGTGGATCTTAGACTTCACTTGCCAGTTAGTATTAAATGTAAGCACAAAAATAATGTTCTAAAGTAATCAAGAAATTTCGTACATTTGACTTTCGATTAAAACTCATTAACGTGCATTAAATCAAATTTTAAAAAGAATAGCATATTGAAGAAGACAAACGTACTCGAACCCAAATCAAAGCTTGTTCTTCAGTGGGTGCAGCTAGAACAATGATTTCACGACTGGAATATGTTATCTTAATCACATGTTCCATACCACTATCTCGTCCCGAATAAATACCAGTAGAACCGCATAAGAATAAAGCTAATGATGGTGTTACTGAATGACCTGTTTTATAAGCAATTAATCTTGAACTATTAGTTAGTAGACAAAAATTTAATTGCATCCATTTACTCGGTTTATAACGATGCGATAATACACCAGCCAATGTCCATACTGGATCCATTAATGAGCTTGGACGACGAGTTTGACATCCCAATAGATTTTTTTTTGGCAGTCTGAAGGAATGAGAGGGTAAAAAAAGCTATGAAAAAAGACATGAATGGACTAATTTAAACTTTAGTTACCTTCCTGAAAGTGACTTATGTATGGCGTTAAAAAAGCCGATTAAAGAAACACAAACTACGGCCTTGATAGAAGGTAGCCTTCAGTAATCAATACAACAAACAGGAAATAACCAGTGATAAAGCTACTAATTAACTTATCTGACATGCCAGTGGACAAAATAATTATTATATATTGATGTGAACTCGTTGAAAAAGAACTCATAATTGCTACCCTCACGTGGTAATGTAGCTTGTGCATCACAATGACCCAGTGAATTACACCGGCTGGAAAGCTTGTTCCCTCGAAACCCACCATATCAGAAAGGTCGGCTGGTAAGACGAAAAGCAGTTATTACTCTAGTGTAAATTGCTATACTATGATGAGGGTCCAAGGGCGAAATTATACTTTTAGACAGAATGACACCAGTAAAATATTCCCCTCAGATAACCAGCATTGTCATGTTGATGCTGTCTTCCTGGCGAGGCAGGTGAGAAAAGGCTGGTCCCAGTAATAAGCACACTGCTCCTTGCCAGGCAGTCAGTCGACGGTGTGGGTTTTCCCCTTAGGGCTTTAGAACAAACAAATTTGAAAACAACAATCTTTAAGAGGCTGTTTGCGACATGCTGAACCAGATGTTCTATGTGCTCTGTGTTTACACAAGTCGTATTCTATTTCAGCAATCTCCTGCCAACCAACTGACAAAGGTGATCGTCTGTTGAGATTTAATCCTGGCAACCGCTTGTTTCTGGCCAGCACTAACTTTAGACATAAGAAGAAACAATGCCCCGTATGGCATCCACCGACTTCAAACCAACGATGGACACAGAACGGCCACACTGTTATATATAAGTCATCGTTGAAGATAATTGGTATATGATTGCTGCTCTTTTTTGTGTTTACTCCTAACTGGTCAGAGAAAAAATGCGATAGAAAAGTCTCTCTATGCTAGATTGCAAGACGAGGACGCCAAATACGTATTTAGGGAAGAGTTATCTAAGCATTTATCTGAACATAACACCACTGCTTATCCTGAGGAAAAACGGTGTGATACTAGGTATGCTATAGAAACAGCAATAGAGACAGTTGGTAACCTACACCTCCAAGTTAGCAAACATCAATGGATTTCCACGATGTCATCCGAACTGACTGATGCGAGAAGAATGATTCCGAAAGTTCTGGCCACAATGAAGAATGAAAGCAAATAAGATGTAAACTGACCAGAAGTCCTCGCGTCGATCGCGAGCAGTGATGGGTGGCAGAAGGGAGAAACATGGAGAAGGCATCAGCGTTGGGTAACACTCGCCAGTTATCTAGGTTTGTTAAGGATACCGGCAAGAAGAACACGATTGTTTGGGAAATCACCACCGTAAAGGATGGGAGACTGATAACCTCCTAGGAAAGGTGGTTATAACGTTGGTCAGAACACTTTGAAGCATAGTTCACCTGGGTCTCTCTCCAACACTTCAGTTGTCCAACATCCAATCTGAATCTGAATAGGGTGTAGATGTCGGTCCTCCATCTCTCCTTGAGTTTGAGGTCGTTTCTAACCTGAAACGATGTAAAGTCGTGGGACCTTAAAGTTTGTCACCAGAAGATTTTAATGGTTGACGTGGGAAATTACTGATTACAGTGACGAAGGTACTAGGTAGTGTAAGAGAAACAGAGGTAGTCTCGTCAAACTAGCATACTTTACTGATCATCATGGTCTATGGGAAGGGAGAGAAATCTTTTTGTGACAACCATAGGAGAATCAGTTTGAGTGACTTCGTGTCCAACATCACAGGGTTCACAGTTATCCGACGCTTAAATAGAGTTCTAGAAAATAAGACAGGTTTCGGACAAATCTAGACGAGGGTGCATTGATCATATTTTCACTCTTCGAGAGGTCCTGGAATACAGGCATAATTGCCGGCAAATGGTTTACATATTTCTTGACCTGAAAGTAACATTCAACTCAGTCGGCCGTGAAGTATTGGGGTGGTGTCCGACTGTGAAGGGAGTACCGAGAAAGTATGTAATGCTAATCAAAGCTTTCTACTCGAACTCACGCAGCCGTGTAAGGGCCTATGGAGAGTTGTCATGTGAACTGACGATAACTGGTGATGTTGACCGAGGATATCCAGTATCACCGTTCCTATTCAACTTCACTATAGACGTACTAATGGAAATAACCTTAGTTGTATCTGACTTCACAAAGATTGGTCTGCTCTCTAACTGGAGGTCATCTGGTTGATTCGGAGTATGCAGACGATATTTTCCTGCTAGGTGAAGACTCTGGCGTAACACAGGGTCTGCTGGACGTACTGAGTAGAAATTTGAGTATGTTCTGCATGCGTCTCTCATGTGTTAAATGTAAAATGATGCTCCAAGACTGGTCTGCAACAGCTACTACTTTAAGGATAAGTGAAGTGGTATAATGCATCGGCAACTCTAGTTACACTAGGAGTTGCATCAGTTCCAACAGATTGGTTGCTGATGCAATCTCAGCTCACATAAAGACATTTAGCATTTACCAACTTACACCATCTGTGATATCGACTTGCATGATATTCGACAACTTATAAAAGACTAGTATACTGCACTGTATTCCATACTTTCATGTTATACGACGTGAGACGTGGTCGTTGAGGGTAAATAGTATGAAAGAGATTTCAGATTTTTAAATACAGGTTTTCTAGTAGAATTCCTTGCATGTAGTGGGGACGCTATGTGAGGAATTACGAAGTTAGGCGAAGGATGATAGGTAAAGAAGACAAGTTAATCGATGAGGTTGTGAATCTTCATTGACTGAGTTGACTTGCACATGTGCTGCATGCGCCAAGCTATCACATACTCTGACGTGTAGTGATAAAAGTTGCATTAGACTGGGAACTGGTTAAGGGTGAACATACCAAGAAGTGACCATCCCTTGATTGTTGATATGAACAGTGTAGATGGGGACGTGCCGACTACCTGACTGGGATCCTGGAGACGATAGGAGTCAGTGGTTAGAAACTCTTACCGACATAGCATGGCAGAAAACTGGCCACAATGACATAGATATATTCACTCTTTGACATCTATGGATTGAATATTTTCACTGACCGTTATCTTTAGATTGTTTATTTTCTCATATACCTTTGTCTACTTTGATATTACTCTTTTTTATCCACTTATTCTTTGTATGCTACTGTGAAATGTGTCAACCTGAACCTATACACTTCAATGCGGGGTTCTACGATGATTTTGTCTTACTGTCAAATAAGTGAAGGTTACTCTACATCTACTAAGTTGCCTAACTATTCATATAATCTACTCTTTTCCTAGTTCTAGCACTTCGTGACACGAGAGTATTAAAAGACGTCTGTGTCGTGTGTCGCAGGGACATCTGCGGCACTGTCTGAGTAATGCCTATGAGTTATGCTCACAATGGACTGACCGCTTCCGTAACCCTAGCTAACCTTTTGGGTACTACCAATCAAAATATCGTTCTGTGGTGACTATTATGTGTCCATGTTGAAAAAATAGATAAACCAAGAACTAAAGAGATGCGACTCTAAACACTCAACATCTCGAATTTCCATACACACTTACTTCAGTAAGAAAAAGCTCCGTTATTTAAAAATCACGCTTGAAGATTGTAGTACTAAGCGTTACAGCCTTAATACTAGCACTCCTTTGATTTCTAGTACCGCGGCTCCTAGCATAAAAGGAGGCACAAAAACAATCCAGTCTCAAAAAATTAGTTACAGAATGTTCTCCCATACCCGTAGCTTTGTAACAGATCCTTAAAACAATCGAAGAGAATGCCACATCTGATAGGCCCATAAATTAAGTAGAGCCCAAACAATCACACATTAGGATTAGACTCAATAGACCATGGTCGGTGAGGGAACTGCTGCGTGACAGGAATGAAACCCGCTCAAAAAACCTGTGCTGCTCAGTCACTATACATAGGAATCTCAGATACTTGGGTAGTACTGAGACTGCTGGATCAATTCATGACACATCACTGGAGATATTTAGCAGATATTTTGTAAGTTGTCAGTGTGACAGCTGGAAAAATCTGTTGTCTTTCAAGATCTATTCATCTCTTAACCATATGTCGAAATTCACTCGATAATTGCTTGCATGATTATGCATCAGACAATGAGCATAACCTATTATATGACGGCTAATGATATCGTCTCGTTGACTAGACCTAAATAGGTAAGGAGAGGTTGGAACCAATCATTCAACAGTTGACAGTACACTGATGTCAGTCAGTAATGAATACCAACCTGAAATCAATAAATAAATCCCCATAAACCTCCAAATTGAAGGTCGATTATCCAGACCAATGAATCACATATTGAGTACACAAGATATTTGTCACTCAAACCTATAGAAGATCAGATGATGACAGTCGCTGGAAAGTTTATTGAGCAGTTATCGCATTTTGGAACAATACTCTTGCATTTGGGCTCTTAAAGATAAGTATTCAGTGCATGAGGTGTGTAGGGAGAGAGGTGTAGACTAACTGGACAGGATCCCTCAAGACGATAGGAATGAGTGGTTGAGGACTATCGGTGACATGGCTGAAAACTGAACACAACAGTGATGGAGATGTATTCAATCTTTGACGTTTACATAAGGTTGAGTGTTTTGAACAACCCTAATTTTCAAATTTCCTCTCCTCCCATAAACCCAAGCCAATTTTCATGTCTTGTATTCACTTGTTCTTCGTATACTGCTGTGAAGAGTGACAATGTGAATCGATGAAATTCTGTGCCAGTTTCAACGTTGATTTCGTTTGTCTGTCTGTTTATTTAAAGCTGAGTATATTATCACTGTCTTTAAGCCCACACACACAATTCAACTTACATTTACTGAATGAAAGACAACACCTTGTAAAAAGTAAGTAATAATAAACGACAAAATTTTGAGGGAAAGAAAATATTTTTTCGCAGTTTTCAGACTTATGATACAGCAG